CGGACATCTTCCACGCCTTCTACGAGCTGGAGGACGCGGTGGATGCGGTGGCGGCCGGCGCTGCGCCAGTCTTCTTTGGGGACAGCCCTCCCAAGCAGTGAGCGGAGCGACCGGTGCGTGCCTGGACCTGCTCGCGCCGGCGCTGGGGACCATCGCTCATGGTCAACGTCACCGGAGTGGCCTGGTCGCCGTCACTGGAGGGGCCTGGTCACTGTCACCGGAATGGCCTGGTTACCATCAGCGGAGCAGGCTGGTCACCGTCACAGGAACGACCTCCTGGTCACCATCACCGGAACGACCTGGTCGCCGTCACCGGAGTGGCGTGGTCACCATCACCGCCTGGTCACCATCACCGGAACAACCTGGTCGCCATCACCGGAGCGGCCTGGTCACCGTTACCAGAGTGGCCTGGTCACCGGAGTGGCTTGGTCACCGTCATTGGAACAGCCTGGTCACCATCACCGGAGTGGCCTGGTCACCGTCACCGGAACAGCCTGGTCACCGTCACGAGAACGACCTGGTTGCCATCACTGGAGTGGCCTGGTCACCGGAACGGCCTGGCTACCGTCACCGAAGTGGCCTGGTCACCGGAATGGCCTGGTCGCTGTCATTGGAGTGGCCTCGTCACCATCACCGGAACGACCTGGTCACCATCACCAGAACGACCTGGTCGCCATCACCAGAACGGCCTGGTCACCGTCACCGGAATGACCTGGTCGCCATCACCAGAACGACCTGGTCAGCATCACTGGAATGACCTGGTCACCGTCACCGGAGCGGCCTGGTTGCCATCACCGGAACGACCTGGTCACGGTCACCAGAACGACCTGGTCACCGTCACCGGAGTGGCCTGGTCACCGTCACCGGAGTGGCCTGGTCGCCATCACTGGAACAACCTGGTCACCATCACCAGAACGGCTTGGTCACCATCACCGAATTGGCGTGGTCACCGTCACCGGAACGACCTGGTCACCATCACCAGAACGGCTTGGTCACCATCACCGGAACGGCTTGGTCACCATCACCGAATTGGCGTGGTCACCGTCACCGGAACGACCTGGTCACCATCACCAGAACGGCTTGGTCACCATCACCGGAACGGCTTGGTCACCATCACCGAATTGGCGTGGTCACCGTCACCGGAACGACCTGGTCACCATCACCAGAACGGCTTGGTCACCATCACCGGAACGGCTTGGTCACCATCACCGAATTGGCGTGGTCACCGTCACCGGAACGACCTGGTCACCATCACCAGAACGGCTTGGTCACCATCACCGGAACGGCTTGGTCACCATCACCGAATTGGCGTGGTCACCGTCACCGGAACGACCTGGTCACCATCACCAGAACGGCTTGGTCACCATCACCGGAACGGCTTGGTCACCATCACCGAATTGGCGTGGTCACCGTCACCGGAACGACCTGGTCACCATCACCAGAACGGCTTGGTCACCATCACCGGAACGGCTTGGTCACCATCACCGAATTGGCGTGGTCACCGTCACCGGAACGACCTGGTCACCATCACCAGAACGGCTTGGTCACCATCACCGGAACGGCTTGGTCACCATCACCGAATTGGCGTGGTCACCGTCACCGGAACGACCTGGTCACCATCACCAGAACGGCTTGGTCACCATCACCGGAACGGCTTGGTCACCATCACCGAATTGGCGTGGTCACCGTCACCGGAACGACCTGGTCACCATCACCAGAACGGCTTGGTCACCATCACCGGAACGGCTTGGTCACCATCACCGAATTGGCGTGGTCACCGTCACCGGAACGACCTGGTCACCATCACCAGAACGGCTTGGTCACCATCACCGGAACGGCTTGGTCACCATCACCGAATTGGCGTGGTCACCGTCACCGGAACGACCTGGTCACCATCACCAGAACGGCTTGGTCACCATCACCGGAACGGCTTGGTCACCATCACCGAATTGGCGTGGTCACCGTCACCGGAACGACCTGGTCACCATCACCAGAACGGCTTGGTCACCATCACCGGAACGGCTTGGTCACCATCACCGAATTGGCGTGGTCACCGTCACCGGAACGACCTGGTCACCATCACCAGAACGGCTTGGTCACCATCACCGGAACGGCTTGGTCACCATCACCGAATTGGCGTGGTCACCGTCACCGGAACGACCTGGTCACCATCACCAGAACGGCTTGGTCACCATCACCGGAACGGCTTGGTCACCATCACCGAATTGGCGTGGTCACCGTCACCGGAACGACCTGGTCACCATCACCAGAACGGCTTGGTCACCATCACCGGAACGGCTTGGTCACCATCACCGAATTGGCGTGGTCACCGTCACCGGAACGACCTGGTCACCATCACCAGAACGGCTTGGTCACCATCACCGGAACGGCTTGGTCACCATCACCGAATTGGCGTGGTCACCGTCACCGGAACGACCTGGTCACCATCACCAGAACGGCTTGGTCACCATCACCGGAACGGCTTGGTCACCATCACCGAATTGGCGTGGTCACCGTCACCGGAACGACCTGGTCACCATCACCAGAACGGCTTGGTCACCATCACCGGAACGGCTTGGTCACCATCACCGAATTGGCGTGGTCACCGTCACCGGAACGACCTGGTCACCATCACCAGAACGGCTTGGTCACCATCACCGGAACGGCTTGGTCACCATCACCGAATTGGCGTGGTCACCGTCACCGGAACGACCTGGTCACCATCACCAGAACGGCTTGGTCACCATCACCGGAACGGCTTGGTCACCATCACCGAATTGGCGTGGTCACCGTCACCGGAACGACCTGGTCACCATCACCAGAACGGCTTGGTCACCATCACCGGAACGGCTTGGTCACCATCACCGAATTGGCGTGGTCACCGTCACCGGAACGACCTGGTCACCATCACCAGAACGGCTTGGTCACCATCACCGGAACGGCTTGGTCACCATCACCGAATTGGCGTGGTCACCGTCACCGGAACGACCTGGTCACCATCACCAGAACGGCTTGGTCACCATCACCGGAACGGCTTGGTCACCATCACCGAATTGGCGTGGTCACCGTCACCGGAACGACCTGGTCACCATCACCAGAACGGCTTGGTCACCATCACCGGAACGGCTTGGTCACCATCACCGAATTGGCGTGGTCACCGTCACCGGAACGACCTGGTCACCATCACCAGAACGGCTTGGTCACCATCACCGGAACGGCTTGGTCACCATCACCGAATTGGCGTGGTCACCGTCACCGGAACGACCTGGTCACCATCACCAGAACGGCTTGGTCACCATCACCGGAACGGCTTGGTCACCATCACCGAATTGGCGTGGTCACCGTCACCGGAACGACCTGGTCACCATCACCAGAACGGCTTGGTCACCATCACCGGAACGGCTTGGTCACCATCACCGAATTGGCGTGGTCACCGTCACCGGAACGACCTGGTCACCATCACCAGAACGGCTTGGTCACCATCACCGGAACGGCTTGGTCACCATCACCGAATTGGCGTGGTCACCGTCACCGGAACGACCTGGTCACCATCACCAGAACGGCTTGGTCACCATCACCGGAACGGCTTGGTCACCATCACCGAATTGGCGTGGTCACCGTCACCGGAACGACCTGGTCACCATCACCAGAACGGCTTGGTCACCATCACCGGAACGGCTTGGTCACCATCACCGAATTGGCGTGGTCACCGTCACCGGAACGACCTGGTCACCATCACCAGAACGGCTTGGTCACCATCACCGGAACGGCTTGGTCACCATCACCGAATTGGCGTGGTCACCGTCACCGGAACGACCTGGTCACCATCACCAGAACGGCTTGGTCACCATCACCGGAACGGCTTGGTCACCATCACCGAATTGGCGTGGTCACCGTCACCGGAACGACCTGGTCACCATCACCAGAACGGCTTGGTCACCATCACCGGAACGGCTTGGTCACCATCACCGAATTGGCGTGGTCACCGTCACCGGAACGACCTGGTCACCATCACCAGAACGGCTTGGTCACCATCACCGGAACGGCTTGGTCACCATCACCGAATTGGCGTGGTCACCGTCACCGGAACGACCTGGTCACCATCACCAGAACGGCTTGGTCACCATCACCGGAACGGCTTGGTCACCATCACCGAATTGGCGTGGTCACCGTCACCGGAACGACCTGGTCACCATCACCAGAACGGCTTGGTCACCATCACCGGAACGGCTTGGTCACCATCACCGAATTGGCGTGGTCACCGTCACCGGAACGACCTGGTCACCATCACCAGAACGGCTTGGTCACCATCACCGGAACGGCTTGGTCACCATCACCGAATTGGCGTGGTCACCGTCACCGGAACGACCTGGTCACCATCACCAGAACGGCTTGGTCACCATCACCGGAACGGCTTGGTCACCATCACCGAATTGGCGTGGTCACCGTCACCGGAACGACCTGGTCACCATCACCAGAACGGCTTGGTCACCATCACCGGAACGGCTTGGTCACCATCACCGAATTGGCGTGTGAGGCGCTCGGTGGGAGCTGTAGATGTTCACCACGGCCAAGGCCTTCGCCAAGGTCTTCGCCAGGGCCTTGAAGCTCTCGCCATGGTCTTTGCCATGGCCCCAAGGCCCTCATTAGGAGCTTGAGGTCTTCACCATGGCCAAGGCCTTCACCATGGTGTTGAAACACTTGGCGTGGTCTTTGCCATGGCCCCAGGGCCCTCGGTGGGAGCTTGAGGTGTTCACCATGGCCAAAGCCTTCGCCAAGGTCTTCGCCATGGTCTTGAGGCTCTCACCATGGTCTTTGCCATTGCCCAAGGCCCTTGCTGGGAGCTGGAGGTGTTCACCGTGGCCAAGGCCTTCGCCATGGTCTTCACCATGGTCTTTGCCATGGACCCAAGGCCCTCATTGGGAGCTGGAGGTATTCACCATGGCCAAGGTCTTTGCCAAGGTCTTCAACAGGGCCTTGGAGCTCTCACCATGGTCTTTGCCACGGCCCCAAGGCTCTCATTGGGAGCTTGAGGTGTTCACTGTGGCCAAGGCCTTCGCCAAGGTCTTTGCCAGGGCCTTGGAGCTCTCGCCATGGTCTTTGCCATGGCCCCAAGGCCCTTGTCGGGAGCTGGAGGTGTTCACCATGGCCAAGGCCTTT